GGATAAGATGCAGAACATCCTTGGGTGGGTGGACCTCAGAGATCTAATCTGACTTTGTTTCTGGCTTGTGAATCCCCTTTCCCTCTGCATTAACTGCTCAGTCCTAACTACCTTCTACCCCCGAGGCGGACATGCTGTCCAGGACTACTGTGATCCTTGGGAAGTTTTTCCTTATACTAATGAAAACAAACGCTGGAACCCCTAATCATTATTTTTAACTCCTTTTGTGGAGTCCTCGAGAAAAAGGCCCTATTTTGATTCAGAACCTTGAGAAAATTTTTCCCAAGAAAATATTTTCCTATAGAAATCCCTGGATATTAACAAAACTAAGTGAGGTTATTATAAAAGAAAGAATAAAAATAAAAGATGAAATTAAAGCTCCCACAACCTGCCTGTATACATTTGTGGGAGATATTCTTTAGTGGGCTTCATTTTGGACGGTGGTGTGGGGAATGAACCCAAAGCCCTGTGCATGCTAAACTAATTCTCTCCCACTGATCTATTCCCCGAGCCTTTATTTTCATTTGAGACAGGAGCTGGCTAAGTGGACCCGGCTGGCCTTGAACCTATGATCCTCCTAACCAGGGTTCATTTTATTAGCTAGTTTTCACCTAAGTAGAAATAGGACAGTAATTGAATTGGATCTTGGTAGAATAGGCCAAAAATAAAAAATAATTTAAAAAAAAATGCTGAAACATTCTAGTGGTCTCTTCCTGGAAACATCCAAGGTTTTATTAAATAAGATGTATGACAACAATTATAAACCGCCTCTCTTCTACAATCGTGCTCCCAAAGAGTGCGATAATCCACGTATCCGTCATGCTAACAGAAGCAAAGAGATCAGCAGGACTTTCACAGTCTCCCACAGAAAGAAGCGGGGAAGAAAACCCTGGGCTCTGTCCTCAGACGGTTTTAGACATTCAGCAGCGGCTTCCCTGGGACTACTGAACGGTACGTCTTCTGAAATCAGAAATAAAGGGCATGAACTTGGAGAGCGGCTTCGGATACACTTCCCTTTACTTGGAGAGCGGCTACGGATACACTTCCCTTTGAGAAATTTCTTATAAGAAAATGCCACCTTGTTAGTTTTCAGCAATTGACAAAGTAAGGGGGGGGGGGTTGTGTGGAAATAGCACAGATCCCCAGAGCACCTACCACGGGCCAGACACCGTCCTCTGTGCTGTGGCCCTGGACAGTTCTAGTTTAATGGTTCACGAAAAAAGACATTAGCATTTGTGAGGCCTAGACACACCCTGAAATTGCCTCTACTGAATGGCTAGGGTGGAAGAAAGATTGTCGCTGAACAGAATCTCCTGGTGGAAAATGAAGCCAAGGGCTTAGTTGGGTAAGATTATTTATGCTACCAATCATGCATTCCTGACCTTCCTCCCATTTCCTCCTCACCAATGGAAAATCAGAATAAGCAATGCAAAAGCAAGATTTTAGGAAAAGGGAGAAGAAATGGTCATAATCTATTATAAAATTGATCTCTGATCAGAGAAAACCTGCTTCAACACCGCCAAGAGGTTAATATTTATAGTCCTTGACTATGAACACTGTCCGTCTATGGTGCATCCGAGGAGCTGGTATTCCCAGTTATAACGGGGCTGATTTTAAGCTCATTGTCAACTTCATGAACCAAGATTTCTTACGTGGCCATGGGCATCTTACCTTTAAACAGAACAGGCAAATAACTACCATCAAACTATCACAATCTAAGAAAAGAGACCCGGGTTAGAGCACCTTGCACACCGTAGGCCTGGAGAGGGAACCTAAAGTCACAAACCTGGTCCTTTGTCTCCCTCCTGCAGCGTCTCAGGTGTCAGCAGAGATCCAGCGACTCAAATCGCTGTTAGGCCTGTGGAACTCCTGTTGGCAGGGCATCTTAAATACCTTTGCAAAATCAGGACCCATCTAAGAGTTGGGATACTCCCCCAACGTGAGAATAAGTGATAAAGGGTGATACGGTGGTGACGGAAACAGGAGAACTTCATATTCTTTTATTTAAAAAATGTATTGGCCAAACTGGGGACGAGGCTCAGTGGTAGAGTGCTCGCCTGGTATGTATGAGGCCCTGGGTTCAATCTCTGGCCCTACACACACACACACACACACACACACACACGCACGCACGCACGCACAGAGTATTGATCTCCTTTAGCTCAATAAAGGTATCCCTCCCTATGTACAGGTGACCCATAGAGTCACCTGAGACTCCTATTTTTAAAAAATTGAAAATTGCCAAACTTTCCCTTTTATGGCTCTGATTCACCCCAGGTGATTTGAAATTGAGAACTAGCATACATTTATAAAAGAGGAAATACATTAATCTAACAAATAAAGATTTCTGGTAAGTTACTTGGTTAAAAACTTGGTTTTTTTTTTTTTATTTGTTTTGTTTTGTTTGTTTGTTTTTTAGAAAAAAAGGTTCGAATGCTTACAACTTAAAAGGCAAAATAATTACAGGTCATTCCGGGACACGTAGAGCGACACAGACTATGTAAACTACCTTTTACACCCAAGGAAACCTAGGTTTTAAATATATGAGGTCAGAGAGATGGAAACTGAGAAGGTTTCACGGCCATGCCCTCCCTACCTAACATCTGTAAACTTGTCCCACCCCCGACCACGCAAACCCATCTATTCACTCCTGACAGAGAAGAAAGGAGAAAAGTCGTCCAGGTGCCACAGGAAAGCCATTCAGGAGGACACGGACCAGTGCCAAGCCCACCTGGATGGAAAATGAAATCCAGGCACACCCAGCCCCGGGCACTTTCCTCCTGGGTTTAAACAAAAAAAAGCCTTTAAACGTGGGGACAACCTCAGATGACTCCAGCAGCAGTTGGGATGCCTGAGCCTGACCCTGCAGGGACAGCGCGAGGCTGTCCAGGTGCAGGGGCCGTGGGGTGGGCTGGAGCAGATTTGATCCTGGCCGAGAGCTCTGGACCCACGTTCGGGGCTTCAGTTCCCTCATTTGCAAAAAAGGGGACCCTAGTGACCCCTAAGAGACCAGAGCGAGGAAGAAAGGAGGGGCCGGCTTTAAGGATGAGGGTGGCTGCCCCTATTGTCACTGCTGTCTCCACCAAGGAGTCCCAGCGAGGCTCCAGGGTTCGGGCGCCGGACCCGCAGACTTTCTCAGGGGACCGAACTCGCCAACCCCCACGGGGCCGGGAGACCTTTGTCCGCGCCGGGTCCCGCCGGCGCCCGCGGTCCGCGCCACCTTTCCCGCGGCGGGCGCCGGCGGGGCGGGGCGGGCGGGCGGAGCGCGGGCTCCCGGGCGGGCCCCGCCAACGGCTCCGCGGGGCTCGGACCCCGAGCGCCGCCGCAGCCTCCAGGGCTGCGGGCGACGTCGCCGCGGCGCCCGGGCCCAGCCGCGCTCGCCCCGGGCGCGCTCACCCTCGGCGCGGGACAGGGGGACGAGGCGCTCAGACCCCGGGCGCCCCACGCGCCTCGCCGCCGCCATCCACCCGGGCGCCCCTCGGCGCGCGGCAGGTGGAGGCGCCCGGCGGGAGGCTCGGGCTCGGGGCTCCAGGTCGCCGCTCCGCAGCCCCCTGCAGGCGCGCGCCAGGCGGCGCCGGCCCAGACCTCTTAAAGGCACAGGTGGCCAGATCCGCGTCCACCTAGGGCCCGGACTCTCCCTCCTGGCCGGTCCCCACTCCGGGGGAGACAGGCTCCCTCCTCCCGCCCACCTGCTGTACCCCTGGGCCGGTGACGGTCTGCAAGTCTCAATGGTCCCCGCATCTTTTGCAACTTAATTCTGACCCAAGTCACCCTCCCGCGGTCCTGAACGCAGGCTGGCGGGCGTGCAGGGGCTGCCACTGTGGGCAAAGTCTAAAGAGGGGTGTTCCTATCCCTGTATATCCTGTAACCGCACCCCCTGCACACACACACACACACACACACACACACACACACACGGCGCCCCGGGGCGTGCGAGACTCGCTGCTGCTGGGAAACGCCCGAAGCAATCCCCTTGACCCTGCCCTGTAACTGACCCTTGGGGGAAAAAAGCCCCCCGAACGGCTACTGCGCATGCTCTGAGCTGGACAGCTCCAGAGAGGGAAATTTAAAAACGGTTCGAGCTGCGACAGCGGCCAAATTGCGGAGCGCGAGGGGCGAGCGCGAGGGAGCCCCCTCCGAAACCCCTGCCGCCCCCCAGCGCCGGCAGCTGCGGCCCCGCGAGGATCGGCTCCAGGTACCGCCTTGCAGGGCCGGCTCTCGCCCTGCTCCTGGGCAGTGTCCCGCTTTGCGTTTCCAGGGTAGAGACCCCGGGCTCAGGGGCCGCAGGGCGTCTGCCGCTGGACCCCTTTTCTGCTTCCCGGGACTCCCTCGGCGACTCTGGGGGCGGGACTGATCAGAAGCTTTGGTGGGTTTCCATGTTCGTTTCACGCTTGGAGTTTGAGGAACTTAGGGACCTGGAGGATTTTTCTTTTAAAGGCTGTGTTTGTGTTGCGTTGCGGGGGTGGGGAGAGAGTGGTGGTGGTCCTCAGGACCGGCATGTGGCGTGTCCGAAGGTATTTCCAGGACAGGGACCCTGCAGAATGATTTCCTTTGCAAGAAGGGATTAGACTTCCCCCAGAGAAACACAGTGACACATCAAGCTTCCCCTTTATTTTTATTATTATTATTTTTAATTTTCAAAGTGATCATAACTGATTCGAGGTCAAAAATGGAAGGGAATCAAGTTCTTTGACGACTGTTTTGAGAGTGCCAGGTTTTTCTGAACCTTGACATTTGGATTATAGAGATGTCCCCCTGCCCTTCTCCCAATGAATTTCTAGGAACCTGTAATTTCATCTCCTCGATTCTCTTTGCCTCTAAAATCTTGTAGGATTGCGCTGGGATTGTGACCTGTTTTGTGCAGAAATTCCCTGTTCTGTTGGTGGTTTAGAGCTCTGTCCTTCTGAATCGCAGGGAAATTGTGGGCAGCTGGGTCTCTGCCCTGTCCACGTCAGTCGTTGATGGGAGTGTTGTTTTCTGTTTGTCTTTTCCCCAAGGAGATGATAGAAAGTGACATCTCATCCATAATGTCAGGACTCGTTCGAAACTCTGGGCAAAATCACCACCCTTCGCCGCAGGAATACAGGTGAGGGCTTCAACAGTAACCCACCGGGTATTTTGGAGGACTTCAGGTGTTCTGGGCCGTTTGGGGTTTCTGAAACTGTCGCTTTGGTGCTGTGATTTTGCAGAAGAGCTTGAAGGTATTGACTTCAGAGTTGGTCTCCGAAGGTGTCAGGGCTCATGTCCTAGTGCAATGGGACCCTGAAATGCCTGCAGTTTCTTGTCCCCTCCAAAAGAGGTCCCTCCTGGGTTAGGGACTGTTTGGCCATCCTGGTGACAACAGTGGCTCTTGCTCTCCCTCCAGGGGCCCTAGCAGGGGCTCCAGGAAATGTACCTCCCTCAGAAGCGTTCTGGGGGAAATTGGCTTCTCTCCCTCTGGATGTTGGAAAGTTGTGGTCAGGACTGCTGGGTTCCAAGCCTGGTCCTGTGACTTTCAGCAAGCCCTTTAGCCTCTCGGGGCCTGATTTCCTCATCACGTAAATGACGCTGTTGAATGAGGTGCTCTTAGGGCTCTCCTAGGTCTCCTGGGTCCCACGAGTCAATTACATGGAAACTGAGGCCAGAATAAATTCTTGAGTCAGGATGAAGTAAGTTGAGGGGGTGGACGGAGGTCCTCAGAGCCCTCCCCCTGTACTCTCCTAACCTCAGAGCTGGAAAGACCCGTAGGGATTCAACCAGTCCAGTCGCCTTCTTTAACAGATGAGGAAACTGAGACCCAGAGGAGAGAAGGGGCTTTTTCAAGGTCACACAGCCCCTGGGAGAGAGGAAGAGGAAAAGGAGGGACCTGCCCCTCCCAATCTCCCTTCCTTGAGCCCACAGAGGCCTGACCCGGTTCCCAGGGCCCCAGAACCCAGAGCAAACACCATGTCTGGGGCTGAGGGGGCACAGCCGATACTGAGGAAGAGGGACAGGATCAGGGCTGGCCCGGGAAGAGCAGGCTGTCACCTCGGATCAGCCCTGTTTACCCTGGGGCAGCGTGGCCCTCCTGGGGACTCATGTTGCTGGGGCAGCCAGCAGCCCCCAATTAGAGGGAGGCTGCCTTGTAGGGACCAAATGAGGCCTCCAGTTCAGGCAGATGTCTGCAGAAAGCCTGCTGTGGAGCAGCCGGGGCAGGTGCCCAGAGCCGCTCACCTCAGCCCAGCGCTGGGACGGCCCACTGCCCAGGTGAGGAAGGCCGAAGCTCGGAGAAATGAAGGGGCTTTTCCAGGATCACAAGACTGAGGACCCCTGGGCTTCCTTCCAGTGCTAACGGGGGGTACGGAATTACAGGGGTGGGGGTGTGCCCGGCTCTCCGGCCCCACTCTCCTGATCTGTAAACGGGGGATGGGAATCCTGCCCAGGCCCGTGTGGTCATCACTGCCGTTTCTGTCTGTGCTCCTCGTTCATTGCACCATCCTGGGCAATTTCGCCTTTGAACTTTCATTGGTTTGTGACAGGGGGTAAGCAAAGAGTGCCAGGAGGACTAGATGGGACACTGCTTAGGAAAGTACCCAGCACCCAGCACCCAGCAGGCACTGCGTGGACCTCTGTGCCTCCTAACAAAGCCTGGGAGAGGGCTGTCCTCCCCCAGGGCTGATCCTCCCCCAGGGCTGGCCCTCCCCAGGGCCACAAGAGGTGGCTTCTTATTCTTACCTAGAAGAGCTTCCTGAGCGCCCCAGAGGTGGGGGAGTCAGAGGGTCAGAGAGTTACCAGGATCAGACACGCGCTGCTCCAAGCACAGCTTTGGAACAGGCCTCGTGGCTTCAGTGTCCTCCTCTTTCAAATGGGCACAGTTAGGCACATCCCTCCCCCAGTTGCCAGGAGGACTCAGTCAGTAAAGCAGGCAGAACAAGAGCCACAGAGCCAGGCAGGGGCTGGGGCTCAGCGGTAAAGCGCTTGCCCAGCATGTGGAGGCCAACATAAAAATAAATGCAATAAAGGTCCATTGGCAACAAAAAGAAAGAAACAAACAAACAAGAAGAACCACAAACTAGCTGTCACTGTTACCTGTACCACTTAGTTACATAAAAGAGCCAGGTCTGCAGGTGACAGGTCTGTGCAGGGCCTTTGGGTGGGAAGTTGGGGGGGGGGATCTCTGAATCCACGTTCCCAGGTGCGGCCCCAGGGCTTCCAACAGGCTCGGCCCCATGCTTCTGAGCGTCTCCCCCAAATCAGGGCATACAGACAGCACACTTCCTGGGGCCCGGCAGTGTGCACCCCGCTCACTGGCCAGTGGGCAGAGGCGGGGTCAGGACCAGCAGGGATGAGAAGCAGGCCCGTCCCCCATCAACCCTGGACCTAGGGGTGCCAGGTGCCCCACCGGGCACGGCCTGTCCTTTTCGCAGGGTTTCAGGGTGGTTTTCCAAGGTACCCAGCAGGCAGATAAGCTCGGCCCACACTCGGTGCCGCCTCCGTGTCTCCCATGGGTCACAGCCTGCCCTTCCTGGGCCAGGTCTCAGCATCCATTCCAGCCAGACCCCACACCCCGTCCCATGAGGGCAGCTCTCGAGCACCTATTTGGTGGATGAGGAAACCAAGGCTCAGCCAGTTTAAACACCTTAAGATGAGCTGCAGCAGGCGCGGTGGCACACACCTGTCCTCCCAGCAGCTGCGGAGGCTGAGGCACGAGGATCACGAGTCCAAAGCCAGCCTCAGCAAAAGCAAGGCACAGAGCAACTCAGTGAGGCCCTGTCTCTAAATAAAATAAAAAATAGTGCTGGGGATGGGGCTCAGTGGTGGAGTGCCCCTGGGTTCAATCCCCGGTACCGGCCCCCCACCCCCAAAATCGATGAGGCTTCACAGTGACAGGTCAAGTGGGGACTCGAATCTGAAGCTGCCACACCCTCGGAACACTGTGCCCCCAACCCTGTGTCCTACTGATAAAAGCACAGCAGCTGGTTCAACACAAGTGCTCCATGACCTCATTGCTGTGTGACACCAGGCAAGTCACTGCTCCTCTCTGAGCCTCAGTTTCTTCTTCTGTGAAATAGAACCAGTTCTCCGGTTGTGGGGAGGACCCGCAGCTGCACGGTGCAAGGCATTCGGCTGGCCCCGGGACCCAGCGCTTTCTCACGGGGCGGGGGCTGATTATGCAGTGAGTCCCCGCTTCCAGCCACTCCCATTTTTCTCCCCAAATAATAGCCCTGGAGAAGTTTATGGGCTTCTCACTCGCGGGCTTGTGTCTCCAGAGAATGCTCGGGACCACTCGGGCTGCTGGTCCAGCCGGTCCAGCCCCCATGCAGCCCGGCACAGCAGCCGGCCACGGTCCCCTGGGGCCGGTTTGGCGGTTGGCTGTCCATGGCTGTGCGCAGGGAGGGCGGGGCCAGCAGCTGGGGGCGGAGCCGGTCCCCGGGGAGCCGTCCGCAGTCGGGGCTCAGCGCAGTGGCCGCAGCCCTGGCCCCACTGATACCGAGCAGGGACCAGGGTCTGGGGACAAGTGGGATCTAGGGAGCAACGCTGTGGCAGGCAGCTCCTGCTTCCCGGGGGTGAATAGCGTTTCTTCTTAGCTCAGGTGGAGAGAGGGAGGTCCACCCTGGAGGTGCCTGGCACACAGTAGGTGCTTAGTGACCATCTTCCCAGTAAAACCCTGAGGCAGGTCCCCGCATGACCTGGGTTTCCAGACGTGGACACGGAGGCCCCGAGACGTGACTTGGCCACACGTTTGGGGAGGGACAGAGCTACAGACACCCGTCACCTGCCCTCGACTTTGGAACTTATTCCAGAGTTCCGAGAAGTTCCTCTCGGGGACGGGCACCGAGGCCTGGAGGGACAAGGGGAGGCCTGCTCTGGGATCCTTGAGCCCTCGGCTTCTCAGAGCCTGATCTACTTCCCCACCTCAGTCCCTGCCCTAAGAATCAGGGTGACCTTGGGGAACGTCCTTCCCCTCTCTCATGGGGACCTCCTCACCTGTGAACTGCAGTGCTGGCGCATAGTAGATACTCATTTAATAGGTTTAATAGTCACTGGAGAAATGGAGGCACAGACCAGCATCGCACAAGAAATACCGCCTCCAGGGAAACGCAGAGGTTTCTGAGCCATGAGAAACCTCTTCCAGAGGCCCCCCACCCACTGTATGTGTGTGTGTGGGGGGCGGGGGTCAGGTTCCTATCAGGACGCCCCACCCACCAGTTGTAACCTGCAGGGGAGGGGCCTCTGCCCCGGGAGGGGCCGTCCTGACATCTTTACATCCTCACCCTCAAGGTGGGTAGAACGAGGTCTGAGCCACCCATGGACAAGGAGGTGGGAGCATTCTCGGGGTCCACCCCTCTTTTGGGTTCTTGCAATTTCATCCTCCAGAAACACACGCACACACACACACACACACGCACACACACACGCTCGCACACGCACATGCACGCACACTAGGTCCTAAGCCTGCTATCTGTTCTGAAAAAAACCTATCTGGTTGTGAAAGAGACTGCTGTAAATGAGTGCATGGAACCGCATTCCAGGCAGAGGGAATAGCATGTGCAAAGGCCTTAAGATGGATGAGAATTTAGAATATCTGAGGAACTCAGAGGAGAGCAGGTTTGCTAGAGCGGAGGGAAGGAGTGGGAAGAAGATGGCCAAGGGCCAGACCATAGCAAAGAGGTCAACTTCTACTCTCCTGATGAGTTTTAAAGAAAGTGGCAGGTTCAGAAAATGGCAGATTGCTCTGGCTATTAGGGGTTAAATTCATCCCCTCTGCAAACATTTCTGCAGTGCCCTTCCTGAGCCACTGTACCATGTAAACCATACCTGTGGTTTACCTTGGAATCAACAGACAGGCCCTATTCTCACCTCCAAGTGGCAGATGAAGACAGGGAGGTCCCCAGGTGTTGAGTTACCTGCCCAAGGTCCCTCTCCCTTCAGTGCCCTGCTCTGCTGGTTTATCTTCCACCCCTCAGGCAACGTGACTTAATAATTAAGGACATGGTTCATTCAAGTGACTGGGTTGATTGCCTGGTCAGCACAGGATAGCTGGACTCCAGTGGTTCCTTGCCTCTCCCAGGGCCACCACAGTGTCCTGTGACCAGTGGCTTTATCCCCATGGAGACACATGGCAGC